GTCTTGATATCCCTAATGTCTAACCAAGATGCTCAATAAATGTTTGTTGAATCAACAATTGGTATCTGCAATAAAATAATGGGGGCCTACTTCACGGGGTCCTTTTGAGGATTAAACTGAGTTAATATTAATTAACTGCTTAGAACAGTGCCTGATACATACTAAATTGCATATAAAATGCCTTCTGCTTAGAGGTCTTCACTTCCTTTACTACAATATCAAAACCCAAAATTACTCTAAAATTTTTTGCTCTTATAATCCATTTGGCAGCAAAACCTGACCAGAATGATTTATAGTCTTTATTTATCACATATGGAGTGAACATTTTGTATCACTCTAGATTTTATTGGAGGTGCTATATATGTACCATATTATCTTTCTGAAATCATAAAAATTCTGATTTCTGAAGTAAAATTGGCACTAAGGACTTTGTATAAGGGTCTAGGGACAAGTGTTATTATCTTTGAAAATATTACAATGTAGGGTTCAGGAACATAACTAGAAATATTTGGTTTCAAAGAAAATTGAGCACAGGAAACATTTATTAATATCTTTTATAAGGTGATATATGAACTTTTAAAATGCAGATTAAAACAAGATGACTAGGGAGGCTGAGGTAGGCAGATCACAAGGTCAGGAGATCGAGACCATCCTGGCCAATATGGTGAAACCTCATCTCTACTAAAATACAAAAAATTAGCCAGGTATGGTGATGCATGCCTGTAGTCCCAGCTACTTGAGAAGCTGAGGCAGGGGAATTGCTTGAACCTGGGTGACGGAAGTTGTAGTGAGTCGAGATTGCACCACTGCACTCCAGCCTGGGCAACAGAGCGAGACTCATTCTCAAAAACAAAACAGAACAAAACAAAAAAACAAAAAAAACCCAAGACGACTAATCAGCCTTTAGTAAGTTAAATGTATGTCCTCTAGCCTGCATTCACTCCAGTTATTTCTTCCATTCTTACACTGGAAAAGTGTAAGAATCTTATTCCCAGTCAAGGATAATTCTGTCCCTTCCTGCTGCCTTCTCAGAGACCTTGCCCTGAAAGTTAGTACCTCTTTCTTAGATTTTCAGCTTCTCCCTCTCCACCAGCTCTAATCATAAATATATTTACACATGCTTAAGTCTCCTCCATCATAAGTATTCATCAAAACAAAGCCTACACATCCAAACTTATCCCTCTTCTTCTTGAAACACTGCATACAATCCACTGTATCGTTTTCTATTTTTTTTTTCTATTCTTCAATCCATGACAAGTTGGCTTTCACCCTCATCAGTGAAACTGCCCATCAGGTTCACCAACAATATTTAGGGAACCTTTCATGATGGTACTTGACCTCCTTGCAGGAGCAGGTGCTGTTTATCACGCCTCCCTCCTTAGGCTTAGGATTCTATGTAGGTCCTTTGGCCAAACTCTACACTCTCCTTGGATGTTCACATTTACTCCCATGATGTCAGTTGGCTGATAGTTTCCAGATCTACATCCCACAACCCATCTCTCTCTCTCGAACTTCAGACACAACTTACTAAACAACTCCATCTAAATGTCCCTCGGGTGGCCAAACTCAGGCTGAAATGGAATTTACCTTCGCTCCCAAACCTGTACACCTAACTCCTCCTGGGATCCTCATGCAGTGAATGGCACCACACCAACATCCAGCCAACTGTCAAAAGGCCTAGGAGTCATTTACAACTCCTCCCTCTCCTTCACCTTTTTAATAGTATCAGTCATCGAGTCCTGCCAATTCAACTTCCTAAATGTCCCTAGAATCTATCTCCACAATCACCTCTATTTCAAGCCACAGTCATTTCTAGCTTAGGTTACTACCTCAAATCTTTTACAGAGTTCTGCCTCTCATCTTGACCTCAGTGAATCCCCTTTCTTTCTTTTCTTTTCTTTTCTTTTTTTTTTTTTTTTTTTGAGACAGGGTCTTCTTCTATTGCCCAGGTTGGAGAGCAGTGGTGCGATCACAGCTCACTGCAGCCTCCACCTCCCTGGCTGAAGCGATACTCCCATCTCACCCTCTTGAGTAGCTGGGACTACAGGCGTGTGCCACCACACCCAGCTAGTTTTTAAAAACTTTTTAGAGCGACAGGGTCTTGCCATATTGCCTAGGCTGGTCTCAAACTCCTGGGCTCAAGTGATCCTCCTGCTTTGGCCTCCCAAAGTGCTGGGATTACAGGCATGAGGTACCATGTCTGGCCAAATGCATTTTCAAAAGTGCAACCAGACAGGTCTTTCTTCCCTCAAATGTGATCTTGTCTCTCCCTTCTTAAAACCCTCAAAAGCTTCAAAATGTCCTCAAAACAAAGTCTATACTCATTCATATAGCCTTAAACTCTATATTCTATCAAACAATCAACAACTATTTCTTGAATGCCTGCTATGTGCTAGGCATGGTCTGGAATCTGAGGATACAGCAGTGAGCCAGACAAAGCTTCAGACATCAAGGAGCTCATGGCCCAGTGGGAAATACACATAAACAAATAAACAAAAATATTCCAGATTCTAATAAGTGTTATAGAGGTGGGGTAGAGAGTGTGCTGTGTCAGTCGGGGCATTCAGGTAATATTTTAGTAGAGACGTTTGAACGTTCCAGCCAAATATACATCTAGCACACTCCTACTAACCTCAGTTCTCAGCTGAGACCTCCCTTGGGAAGTTTCCTGATACCTCGAGTCTGGGTTGGCAGCAACTCCCACATGCTCTATAGCACCGCGTGCTTACCCTGCACATTCACCACTCAGGGTGCTAATGCCTATTATTGGTCTGATTACTCCCCAACAGGGACAGGACATCTTGTGCCTGGTTATGTCCCTAGTACGTGGTGCACAGTGCTCGCCATGCTTGAGTTGCTCAATATCCACTTCCTGAATGGCAGATTAATTAATATCATTAAATAATTCTCCTGGTCAGAAGGCCTCGCTATTTATTTATTTATTTATTTTTTGAGACAGAGTCTCACTCTGTTTCCCAGGCTGGAGTGCACTGGTGTGATCTCGGCTCACTGCCACCTCCACCTCCTGGGTTCAAGCGATTCTCCTACCTCAGCCTCCCAAACAGCTGGGACTACAGGCACACGCCACCATGTCCAGCTAATTTTTGTATTTTTAGTGGAGATGGGATTTTGCTATGTTGGTCAAGCTGGTCTTGATCTCAGGAGATCTACCCGCCTTGGCCTCCCAAAGTGCTGGGATTACAGGCCTGAACCACGGTGCCCTGCCAGCCTCAATAATTTTGAAGAGGGGAATATAATTGTCCTTTGAAGAGGTGCATTGGCTGCCTGAAATGAGAAAAGTCTACATAAAACATTTTATTCATTATTTCCATTTGTTTTATTACTGCTAATATGAATGCCAAAGCATAAAACTCAACATCTGGATAATTAATCACGTCTTTCAGTTTATGCTTCTCTGCTGTTTTTTAATTCCCAGGCCCCATAAAAATATGTAGGCTTTTCCTACGGGAAATTTTCAAATATGAAGTCACAGAATTCTTAAGTAAAACCTAATGATTCTTTAACTGTGTTAAGAATACAATTTCTAATGAAAGTTAATAAATGCATAAATGCACAGTCATCTTCCTTTTGATGTTACAGATTTCTGTACTCAGAGTGGTTAAGTCCTAAGGCCTTTTATTCATTTTTAATTCTAAACTCAAAATTGAATGTAAGGCCAGGCATGGTGGCTCATGCCTGTAATCCGAGTACTTTGGGAGGCTGAGATGGGAGGATTTCTTTAGGCCAGGAGTTTGAGACCAGCCTGGGCAACATAGTGAGACTCCACCTCTACAAAAAAATTAAAAAATTAGCTAAGTGTGGTGGCATGTGCCTGTAGTCGCAGCTACTTGGGAAGCGGAGGCAGGAGGATTGTCTGAGCCCAGGGGTGAGCCATGATTGTACCACTGCACTCCAGCCTGAGTAACAGTAAAACCCATCTCAAAAAAAAAAAAAAAAAAGAAAAAAAAAAAAGAAAAAAGATTGAATATAAGAATGAAAAACATGATGCCATACGCCAAATGACTGACTGCTGAGGGATTACATCTGCCACAAATGATTCTTCATGTTACATGACTCAGCTTGTCAACTTCTCTAAGGTAACAACCAGAAGATTTTTCTGAGATCATACAATATTTTCCAGTTAAAGTCAAAGACAAGCGACCCCTATGCACTATCTATATTAAAAAATCAATAATTTCTTCCCCTAAGACACTGGGAAGGCTTCCAATCAAGCAAATGTCATAGCAGAACTGTACTTTTGGTCCTATAATTCTCCACCACCCAGCTTAAAAGCAACACTTCCAATATGATGGTTTCCATATTAACGTTGTCTGGAAAACTGAAGAGATGGAAGAGAAATAAAAGTAAATAAGGAAGATGATGGATCATATCATTCCTCTAAGAATAATCAAGCATTTCGTGAAACCAGTGCCTTACATTTCCGCAAATCTCAGTAAATACTGGATTTTTATAAACCTGGCATCCATATTTCCTATTTAATGTCAGCTTGTCAGGGTAGCACAGCATATTGATTAGACTATAGTTGATACAGAATATCAAATACAACTCTGTATCCCTAGTCAAAAAGTTGTAGTCAGAACTTCTCATTATGGTTTTAGTGAGATGAAATGAGCGAACCTATTTACATATTCTCCTTTTATCTCCTATTAAGGCAATATTTCTAGGTTCGTGGAGTTAGTCTATTTGTTTTTATCTCTTCAGTTCTGTTATTCTGCTTCTAGTTTATTGAACTTTGATGACAGATACTTCACATCCTATATCCTTCTCTGAAATGAGAGTTAATAGCTTTGCCTGAGTAACAGAAATCTTTAAAAGCAAATATAGATGAGCAGGTCTGTGGATGAGACTGAGAAAAAACTGCTTAGAACTTAATGGAAACAGGTAAAGCAATTGTCTAGGATTTATCTGAACAGTGATGAATAAAAACAAGAGAAACTAAAAAGATATGTTAAAGAAAATAATTTTTAAAAGTCACTTACCCTTAGTTCTTCCTTCGTATTGAAACTATCAAGAAGCTGTTGATAATGTCTATCAGTCATTTGTCGTAATAGGGACAGGAGACAAGCAACAAACTCCCCCTAAGTTAAAAAAAAAAAAAAAGCATATTGTTTTCTTTTAGTAAGGACATAAAAGAACATCAGTAACTTACACTGAACTGTCCTCAAAAAGAATACGTTAAAATGAAATCACTATGATCCAAACTTGCCCTGTGAAGTCTTCCTAATCTAAATTACCCAAAATGTCACAGCCAAAACTTCTCCCTATGATGATTACCATTTATTTACCTGGTATTCACAAATTTATAATTTTAGAGATGATTTTTTTTTTTTTTTAACTTGGGTGGAAGCTTTTCACTTGGGAACTAACTTCACACATTTAAAGAAAGTAAGGCACTGAGGGTGATGATCATTTACTGAGCATTTAAAATGTCTGCACTAATTACATCATTTAAGTTTCATATCAACACTATGAGGTAGGGGGTATAATACCTTTTTGAAGAAGGTAAAATGTAGTTTCTGATGTGCTTAATGACTTGCCCCAAGTCACTCAGCTAGAAAGTAGCAGCGCTGGAGTTATGCCCAATCTTTCTGCCTCCAAAGCCCTTCCTGTAGCTTCATGCTCCATTTTTGAATTCATATGACCTCCTCCAACTCATCAGAGAGTTGATCTGCTGACTCACAGGGTATAATGAAAGCCATACTTTGCATAATGTTCATTTCAATCTCCTTTTAAAAAATAGTGTTATTCAGATGTCTTGGAGGATTGAAAATAATTTTTTTAATTGGCCATTCTTTTTGTGCTTGGGCTCTATGTGATTTATAACCACAAATTCTAATTCTTAAAAATTAACAATAAAAAAGTAAACATAGCATCCATAGATTTGAAGACCTACATAAAATTGCTATCACTTGCATTTTTGAATGAACTTCTAATTTAAAATGCTTGCATTTCCAATGCAACCTTTTTTGCTCAGCAAAGAATTTATCTACTTTTAAACAGAGTAATAACATTTAAAACAAAACAAATACAATAGGAGAGGCAATCACTGGTAACTAACTGTGTATTTACAGAAGTGCAATTTAATTGGGAACTGGTTTCTTAGATTTTACATGGAAATGACTACAGACTTTATAAGCAGAGACTAAAACCCCTGAGAAGTGGAAATTTTCAACAGAGGCAGCTGGGTCAGGAAAGTTCAATGTATCCTCGCCCACTGCCATGGGAGAACCAAGGAAGGTATAATACTTAAAGACCATGTCAGGGTAACCAGGTACTCAGGCTAGATCTTTGTTTGCAGATAATCATTTGCAACACACAGGTATGACAAATAATTGTCTGTTACATTTTTTAGGGTAAATATTCAAGAAACTAACCAGTGTGGAAAAAACACCCTTCAAGCTCAACATACACTTTGTTAATGAACATGGAAATCCTTGATATTTAACAAAAGAAATAAAAAGTTTAAAGGCAACATTACTTTTTGTGTATGTGTGTAAGGAAGTAACCCAATCCAACACTAGGAAAAGAATGATCTGGAAGGATTGAGAGAACAGTGCCTGGTGCTCACACACAGGACTGGGAATAACAGTGCCTTTTTTTTTTTTAAACCAGCCAGACTGGAAAAAGCTCACAATTAATAAGGCATCAGTTAGAGTACCAAAAAGAGTGTTTCCTTAGTACTGGGAAAAACTACTCCTAGAGTAATGCTGTTCTGGTCCTACCTCACAAATTTCAAAAGCAAGACCTAAAATGATCAAACAGTTTCCAATAAATTTAACCTCATTCTATACCAAAGCTCAAATATATTTTTTAGAAATTAAAAAAATCCACCTCTCGACAATGTAAAATTCACAATGTCTGGCATGCAATGAAAAATTGCCAGGCGGGTCAAGAAGAAGGAAAAAATGATGTAAATGAGAAGAAAAAGTAATATATCAATAGAAACAGATCCAGAAATGACACAGATAATAGAATTACCAGACAAGAACATTAACATAGTTATATTACTGTATTCTAATTATTCAGGACGCTAGAGGAAAGACTGAATATATTAATTTAGAGACATGGCAGACATAAAAAGAGCCCAAATTAAACTTCTAGAGATGAAGGCTACAATTTGTGAGATGAATATTCACTGAATGAATCGAGTGGCAGATTAGACACCACAGAAGAAAAAATTATTGAACTTGAAAGGGAGGGCAGTAGAAATTCTCCAAAACAAAGCATAGACAGAAAAAACTGAAACAGATAGAAAAACAGAAAAAAGCATCAGCGAACTGTAGGACAACTTCAAGTAGTAGAGTATCTATGTAACTGTAATCTCAAAGAGAAGGAAGAGACAGAAAAAATTGAAGAAATGAGAAATTTTCAAACTCTTTGAAAATTATAAACCTATATATCAAAGAATCTCTACAAACCCCAAGCACAAGAAACAAGAAGAAAATTACACCAAGGCACATCATAATCAAATTGCTTATAGCCAGTGGTAGAGAAAATCTTAAAACACTATTCAGAAAAAAAAGGGCACATGACATAGAGAAGAACAAAGACAAAGATGAGAAAAGATTTCTCTTGGAAAGAATACAAACTGAAAGACAATGGAGCAACAGCTTCAGAGAACTAAAAGAAAAAAAAAATAACCCAAAAACTATTAACTAAGAAAATATAAAATATAAAAATATCTTCCAAAAGCAAAGACAAAATAAAGACTTTTCAAACCTCCAAAAGCTTATTCACCACCCCTATTCAACATTGTACTGAAGGTTTTAGTCAGTGCAATAAGGCAAGAAAAGACAGTCAGGAATACAGCTTTGAAAGGAATGTTTAAAAAGCTGTCTCTCTTCACAGAAAGCACAGCTATATATATAGAAAAAGCTATGAAATTGATAAAGAGCTACTAGAACTAAATGAGTTTACATTCCAGAATATAAGATCAATGTACAAGAATCAATTTTACTTCTACACACTAAAAATGAACAATCTGAAATTGAAATTTAAAATATCATTAAAATATGAAATAATTACTGATATATACGACAAAAAATGTGTAAAATCTGCATACTGAAGGTTGCAAAACGCTGAGGGGTGGAGTTAAGACTTTAAAAAAATGAAGAGATTACATGTTAATATTAGGATTGGGAAATGCAATATCGTGAAGATGTCAATTCTGGCTGGGCGTGATGGCTCACGCCTGTAATCCTTTGGGAGGCTGAGGCAGGTGAATCACCTGAGGTCAGGAGTTTGAGACCAACCTGGCCAACATGGTGAAACCCAAGCTCTACTAAAAATACAAAATTAGCCGGGCATAGTGGTGCATGCCTGTAATCCTAGCTACTTGGGAGGCTGAGGCAGGAGAATTGCTTGAACCCAGGAGGTGGAGGTTGCAGTGAGCCGAGATTGCACCACTGCATTCCAGCCTGGGTGACACGAGTGAAACTCCATCTCAAAAAAATAAAGTCAATTATCCCCAAATCGATATATAGATTCAATGCAATCCCACTAATTATCCTAGCATAGCTCTGGGGGTTAGAAATTGAAACGCTGATCTGACTTTCAAATCCATAAGGAAGTGAAAAGAATCTAAAATAGTCAAAACAACTTTGAAAAAGAAAAGTAAAGTTGGAAGACTTACACTTCCTGACTTTAAGATTTATTATAAAACATGAGAATCAAGAGAGTAGGTTATTGGTGTCAAAACAGAAAAACAGGTAAATGGAACACAATAGCCAACCCTAGGAACAACTCAAATGTCTACCAAGAGGTGAATGAATGAACAAATTGCAGTATAGCCATACAATGGAATACTAGTCAGCAATAAGAAGGAATAAACTATTGATATACAAAAGAATAAGGATGAAACTCAAATATATTGTGTGTGAAGACAGAATTCCCTGACCCAACGCCCCCCGCAAAAAACTATGTATTATATGATTAATAATAATAACTATGTACTACATGATTCCATTCATATCAAATTCTAAAAAATGCAAAGTTATGTACAGTAACAGATAAGTTACTATAAAAAGCAGGTCAGTAGTTGCTTGGGGATGAGGTAGCATGGAGAAGCAAAAGAGAGGCAATCGAGAGGGGCACAAGGAAGCTTTTGAAAGTGATGAACATATTTGCTATCTTGATTGTGGTGATGGTTCATAGGAATATACATACGTCAAAACTAAAATTGTATATTTCAAACAGGTGTCATTTGTTTTATGTCAATTATACCTCAATAAAATAAAAAAGACATGTGACAACACTATGATTTATGGAATGGCACTATGTGTAAGTTACCATACTTTGACTATACTATTGAGTTCATTCCTTATTTGGGCTTTGTTGGGGAGACACAATCAACTTCACTTTAAAGAAAAGATAATTATCTCTTAAGGTTCAGAAATTTACCCCAGGTTCCACAGCTTGAGAATTGTGAGACTGGGATGTGAACTCAGGTATCTCTGGTTCTAGAAGTCGGAACTCAGTGACTCATCTATTTCTGCTCAGACTATTTGATTGTATAGAGAAAATACACCTGATTTTTTTGGTTATAATTAAAATATTAGTAAGTATACTGGAATCCATCAGTTGATAACTAAGGTTCATACTTTTTTACCTTTCTCTTAATACGCCTTGACTTAAAAATGCAAATCTAGTTAGCAGAAACCCATTCATCTCTTTTCCATCTCTTAGGTTTTCCATATCATATTCACATTGTCTCCAATACAGCTACTAGATTAATTTTCCTAAGACATTTACTTCAACACACAATCCTGTGAATAGTGAAATATGCTAAAGTGGGAAAAATGACACATTATTTGTTGTAAATTTAGTAATAAGAAATAGTAAGCAATAATGAATAGACTTTCATCTTAAGTCTTTACAGTCAGTATACATAGGGGAACAACCTGTTTGAATCCAGATTTATGATTTTATTTGTCATATCTGACTTAGGTCCATTGCAATAACTTATAATCATGACATATAATCCCTGAGGCACTTAGGATGATTATTGTCAATCCCAACATCTACTCTACAATGTCATTTATTCACTTATGCTGTTTAGGAACTCCAACCACATTCAACTCTGTTAGGAGGCCTACATGTCCAATTACTAATGTATATTTTATCCATAATGTAATTTTTTTGCTCTATTTTTTAAATTTAAATTTTAATTAATTTTTTAATTTTTTTATTTCCATAGGTTTTTGGGGGACAGGCGGTATTTGGTTACATGACTAAGTTTTTTAGTGGTGACGTCCAATTACTAATGTATATTTTATCCATAATGTAATTTTCTTTGTTTTTAAGATATTTTAAGAATGTATCGATATGAAAATCCTAGATCCATAATTTGTTAAAAAGAAATAAAAAGCCATCAGTGGCCAAGATGTACTTAGCTGCAGTGTGATACTTTCTTATATATAAATCACCTTGAAAACTCTGTAGTCCTCAGTGGCCATTTTATGTATAGATTGAGTATAATGAGAATTTCTATAAATGATTTTGTATAGCACGGGTATTGGATGGCTACAACTGTCTTCATGAAAGCTATTATACACATACATTATTTTTTCCACGTATTTCTTCTAGAATTAACCCAGACCCATTTCCATACCCCAATCACAAACTGACAACACATGAAATTTGTAGATGAACACATCAGAGTAGCGTCTTAGACCTGGCCTATGCCCAGAAGAATCACTTGCTCCATAAATGGTACTTAACAGAGTTATGAACCAGTAAGCATTTATAATTGTAAGGAACTCTGGAGCTCCATCAGTTGAGAATGCAAGGCAAGTGGTCATTTGTACTGCTTTATAAAATCTGCTTCTACCTATAATTAGACTGTTGAAAGGAATTGATCACAATGGTGCTTTTTTTTTTTTCTCGCTAGAGAAAGCATTTTAAAGTTCAAAAAACAGTTGGTGGGAAAACAAAAAGTACAATCCTTTTAAATTGCAAAAATAAGGCCTCTGTTATCTGGAACTATGATACAGCAGAAGCCAGTGCTCACGCTGGTGTGGCTGGGAGGCAGGGTAACAATCATGGTGCTTACAGAACACTGGAAGAATTCATCATGGCACACTGTGGGATCTGTGTTTAGTTACAGTGTGTCTACCTGTCATGGGCACTTTTCCATATGTGTCTGCACAGAATGAAAAGGTGCTCAATGTAGAACTGTCATGTAAAGACTCCCTATTCAGAAAGCCTGTTCTCTGTGAGAAAATGATAAAGAAATTCAACAGATCTTCAGTCTCCAGAGAATGGATTTTGTGAAAGACCAAGGCATATTTCTCGCCATAGAATTATTATAACAACAACAATACATCAAGCACGTCTGCAACAATCATGGTATGACTGTGACTGCTGCTGCTACCGTAATGACTAATGGCCAGCATTGATCGAGTTAGCAGACCAGATACTGTTTAAACACCTTTACAGATCTGAGGAATCCTCACACTAACTTTGAGATAAGTACAACTATTTTCTCTGATTTACTTATTTATTTATGAGACACGGTCTCGCTCTGTCACCCAGACTGGAGTGCAGTGGTGTGATCTCGGCTCACTACAACCTCCACCTCCTGGGTTCAAGCTGTTTTTGTGCCTCAGTCTCCCAAGTAGCTGGAATTACAGGTACCTACCAACATGCCTGGCTAATTTTTTTGTATATTTAGTAGGGGTTTCAACAAGTTGGCCAGGCTGGTCTCGAACCCCTGTCTCAAGCAATACGCCCGCCTTGGCCTCCCAAAGTGCTGGGATTATAGGCGTGAGACACCACACTCGGCCTATTTTCTCTGTTTTAAAGACAAAGAAACAGAGGCTTAGAGACATTAATAACTTGACCAACATCAGAGTCAGTGCAATGGCAGAGAAGAAATCAAGCTAGGTCTGTCTAAGTATTCTTAAAAAAAAAAAAAAAAAGTCTTAAAGCATAAAAGCAAAGATGTCAAATAATTTATGTGTGTGTTTCATGGAAAATTTCACCCCACATACCTTGAGAGTTTGGTTTCTTACACAGCAAGGGGTACCACAGAGCCATGCAGGAACGATTCTCCTCATGTGATTTTCTTATAATTTAGTACATGGGACAATCACTCTGCCTGCCCTACCCCACCTCCACCCACAGACCTGATTCACTGACTTCCTGAAGTCTCCTAATTAGCATTGGTTATTGCACCGTATGACCTGAAGACCACATGTGTGTCATAGAGATTTGATGCACAACAACCTGGTACACTCTGCACGTCGATAGAAAGCAGTTTAAAAAATGTTTTAGCTTTTGATCTCAGGCAATCTTTAACCACGTCCAGCATTTGCTATGATTTTGTTTGCTGTGCCATTATAACTTTTGAACTATATGAGAGTTATATTGCCAGGAAACAATTAAAATGTTACCATCAAAACCATAACGAAAGAGACATCCTTCCTCTTCCAGGCTGAAAGTATAGAGACACTTCTCCCCTATTCCTCCTGCTAAGTACAACTAAAAACCTGAATATCAAATATAAAACAAACAGAAAAAGACTCTGACAGGAGGGGAGAGAGGGCAGACTGGCCAAGAACCTTGGCACCTGAGGAAGGGCACGGTGTAGATTTTTGGGTTTTCTTTTTTGCCTCATATATTTCAAACACGCGGCTGAAGAGGCCAGCAACTGTGAAAGACCAACAGTTGGCAGACAAAAGAAAAAGTCCCAATAAAACCTTATTTCTCCAGCCAAAGGACTAGGAAAGACCAGCCCCGCAGGGCAATACTTTTAGCCACAACTGCTCTATTCTAGCTGAACACCACGGAAAACTTTGGCCTCAGTCACCCGTTCACCGCAAAGGCTGAGTGAGGAGCCTAGACTTCCATCCCCATGAGACTGTAGCGAGGTGCCCCAACATCTCTCCTAGAGTGGAGCCAGAGAAGGTCAAAAAGGGAGCAGGTACTTTCATATCCATGGGTCATGAAAACAACGGGAGCAACCTGGACTTCCACCCACAACTGGCAGTAATAAGTCACATTTTTTCCCTCCCTACTGAGGTGGTGTCACAGAGGCCTAGTAGACAGTCAGGATGGCTACTATGGCCCAGCAGTAACAAAGCCGCTCCCACCACTTTGTCAGTAGAGACCACATGCAGAGCCAGAACTTCCACCTCAACCAGCAGTAACAAGAAGCCCTCTTGCCTCAGGTGTCAACGGAAGCCAAGAGGCAAAGCTGGATTTCTATCTCTGTCTCACCATAACATGTGGGCACTCACTGTTCCCCTGATCAGTGGTGTCACATAAAGCCAGCTAAAACAGAAGGTTTATGTAAGATCCCAAACCTTATAATATAGAAATGTCTTGGTCATAAGAGAAAATAATACATCCTATTAAGATCTAAGAAAATCTCAAATTGAATGAAAAAGATAATAGATGTCCACATTGCAATGTCAGACTGTTAGAATTATCTGACACATACAAAATGGTTAAGGACTTACACGTAAAATATAAAACTACACTACTTTTAGGAAAGAAACTAGGAGATAACATTTAAGACACAGGGCTAGGCAAAAAGAGTCAAAGCTTGAACCATAAAAAGAAATTAATAAACTGGACTTATACGAAATTAAAAATTTTTGCTCTGCAGAGCTTGTTAAGAGGATGAAAAAACAAGTTACAGGGTAGGAGAAGATACCTGCAAACCACATATTATAAAAAGAAATAAAAACTCAACAGTGGAAAAACAATCCAATTAAAAAAATGACAAAAAGACATGAAAAGACATTTTACTGAAGAGGATATTTAGATGGCAAATAAGTATGTGAAAAGATGCTCAGCATCATTAGCCATTAGGGACATGAAAATTAAAACCACAATAAGATACCACTACATAGCTATCAAAATGCTCTCCACTCCAAAAGAGACAACCCCAAATGCTGATGAGAGTATTGAGAAAGTGCACCGTTCATAACTTGTATATTATAGTATATATAGTAGAGCCACTATTTTCCATGGTAGCTATACCATTTTGTATTCCTGTATATACATAAATAGATACACATTTTTAACTGCTAGATATATTATTTCTTAATATTTTTTCTTAATGTTTTACATGAATATAAAATACAGATATAATATTAGACTCAAAATAGTGGCACTTCAAAGCACCTTGAAATTTGCCAATTGTAGACTAGGCATGGTGGCTCATGCCTGTAATCCCAACACTTCAGGAGGCCGAGGCGGGTGGATCATCTGAGGTCAGGAGCTCGAGACCAGCCTGACCAACGTGGTGAAACATTGTCTCTACTGAAAATACAAAAATTATCTGGGCATGGTGGCAGGCACCTGTAATCCCAGCTACTCAAGAGGCTGAGGCAGGGAGAATCGCTTGAACCCGGGAGGTGAGGTTGTAGCGAGCCAAGATTGCGCCACTGCACTCTAGCCTAGGCGACACAGCAAGACTCTGTCCCCAAAAAAAAATAAATAAATAAAATTGCCAATTTCAACCTTCTCATTTCCTAGCTAAGGAAACTGAGGCTGAGAAAAATTATGATCATGACTAGTCAGATTGAAAAATCCGGACTGAAAACTCAGGGCCCCTGACTCCTATTACTCTGTTTCACTCTTCTCATTTCCTCAAGCAATTTGATGGATGATAAGAAAATAAAAAGTTATCAAGTTGACTTGGGATATAAAATCTGGGATTAATTTAAACCGGACACGGTATGACTAATATCAAAGCTGGCTTTCTGCCATTAAAAACCGCTTATTCCAAGTTCCTTTAACAAACATGCTTTATATCTTGGTTTCCTTGTAAAATTAAGGTAACCTCATATGATTTTGAAATGCTCATGGGTTACTCTCCTAAGGTCAGATTTTCCAGACTAAACATCAAGCCACCCGCACGTGACTGAAGCTTTAACAAGCATAACCAGGCCCTGTTCCACGTGCCATCTGCTCTATGATCTTACAGTGACATCCTGGAACTGGAACCGCATTGCTGAGCTGGACGGCTGAGGTCGGCTGGTGATCTCCAATATGGTCCTCAGCAGAATATCCAGCAAGCTGGCCACTATCACATCTATTTCCTCCAGCACAGATTTTTCCTTAAGAGAGAAAAAAAATAATGTGTTCAGGAAACTGGGGTTTAACATGCACTTCAATCTAACAGAAAAGGGGAAATCAAAGAGTCAGAGAACTTGAGAGACCTGGATTTCACCTAAGTGAACGATCTCCTTTTACAGTAAACAAAGGCACAGAGAAGATAATGGCTTACCCAAGAGTACACAACTCAGTGGTGCCATGGATACCTGAGGTACAAGTAAAAAGGTGGGTGATATCATGAACGTACACCAGACACACCAGTCTAACTCAGAACACCAGCTAGGCTCCCAAAAGGGTGTGTGATCTCAGGCAAGTCAGTTTGCCTCTCTAAGCCTGAATCTTCACTGCAAGTCCATCCTGGTTCTTGGTCTATAATTTATCGGTTCCAGACTGTGCTTATATTTACTTTTCTCATCATTGGAGTTACATCAGTCATTTTCCAAAACTCTATTTTAAGTACAAATGGCTATTCCTATAAAAAATGATGTGTAAAAATCTTTGTAAGTAAATATTAGGAAATGGTGTTTGGCCCAAATACCTGTAGCTACAGAGTAGATCTAAGGTCATGTGGCCATGTGGAAACTGCTTCTCTGATGCAAAGCTAATAGTATCCACGCCTCAGGACTTGAAAGAGAAACCCAAATTGCTCTGCACTGACTGTATGTGGAATTGGTTTCTTATTCCACCTGCACAAAACAAAACTCTATGTACAAATGCTCCTAACCAAGGAGATCACTCTTTGTAAAAAATACTTTCAGAAACTACGAGTTTGAAAGAGTTTTTTGGCTAGGATCTCACGATAAATTTTCTTACTCTTGCAAGAAAACTACCAAGATTTTTCCTCCAATGACTTGGTTTCTGCTCTGAATGTCTACAGAGAGCAGAAGTTGTGGAGGTGATTTCTTTTTATTTCTCTTCTGCAGTTTTTGGTTTTGTGCAGTGAACTATCTAACTTAACATTTTACTCTCAGCAATTATAATTTGGAAAAAGATTCTAACTAGGCATAGCATAGTTATTCTTTGTAGAATTTTATAGAGTGGGGTTTAAAACTGAACTCATGCCTTCTGTCACCACGGTTCTGTCCAGTTCCAGATCACCTTTGGGGCCTGGATCATGGGGGTGGGAAAAAGTCAACTGCTTTGTTCCATGCAGGTTCCTCTTATCACACTTCCAGAGGCAGAATTTCCAGCTTTTTTCTCTCAAATGCCAACTCTGTTCCCATGCTACTGGGGCTCTATCTCCAACAACTCCACTGAGTTCCCATCCCAGCTCACTGATCTTCGGAAGCTGATCGTAACTGACAAATTGGGGAAACTGCAACCTAAAGGTAATAGGGAAGCAGAGAAACAGGATTCTTGGCACTCATTGCCAAACTCTGCTCCATAAAACCTGTTACCGATGAGCAAAATGGTTACTTAACAGTTGCATATTGGCAGAAGTGGAACAGGATATTCTCCATATGTGGATTTCACACCAGACCCCTGAGCCATGAACACAAATACTCTGAGTTGTCCCATTTATAGGCAAGCATGTGATTCTTCTCATTTTGCAGTGCATTCTCTAACGCAATTGCATTGCATCAAGAGTCAAGCACATTGATAGGAATCCCCAAATCCATAACAATTTGGAGATCACTGTTGGGGCCAAGTAATGGTTATATTGTAAGATACCCCTAATCTCCTGGAGCTGTCCTTTGCTTCAGCAATTTCCAGAGGACTCAGCCCGAGGATCATAGCCAAGTTCTGAGTATCATGAAGTGGCCTTTCACAGAATGGATCAAAAACGACTTCACGTTGCAAGAAGTAATTTATTCTTGCCACAGAGCAGTCATCATATCAAGATTAAAGACACGTGTGGGAGGCTTTGAGCTTTCTAATTTTTCTCACTCAGTATGCAGTTCTTCCTTGAAATACAAGTTTGGGGAACCCAGGTTATTTGGGGTTACAGAATCCCACAAGGTTAAAAAAATTCCTTCCAAAGAGAAGCAAAAAGTCCAGCCCAGCTGGAAATAAAAGTGAGTCTAAGAGGCTTCCTCTTTAGTGCGGTTTCTGTAGACTATTACAAGTTATTTCCAGAAGTCATTTGATGGGAACTATATACTATGACCTGTATTTACTTACCGAGCTATTTTTCTTGATGAGACAAAATACGTTGCTAAGGATACGTGCACACATGATCAGGTCCTTCTGTTCTTGCAAGTGAATGTGGAGGTGATGTAACACGACAGGCAGAAGAATGTATCGGGAATCTGAAGAGAGAAGAGTCATTAGTGTCACATCTGTTGGAGTCCCACGCAATACCTAGGGCAAATCCTTATCTACTTTTAATTCAATTTTAGTTGTTAAATTACTAACACATGTAGTTACAAAGGTGTTAGTTCTGCAAGGTTTATATTGAAAAACATCAGTTCCTTTCCCTAATGCACAATTCCTACACTCAGAAGGCCTTTGACACTTTCAGGTGAAATAGATTATCTTTTTAGAATTGTTTGTTTTACCTTTACATTTCTAAATCACATGCTTCTCTTGCTGTTTCCTGAATTTTCGTTAAGATAGACCACCTACTGACTTCCCACTATGGTAGATGAGGACTTAGTTTTGTTTTGTTTTTTTAACCCCCTGATATGATTTGGCTGTGTCCCCACCTAAATTTCACCTTGAACTGTAGCTCCCATAATTCCCTGTGGGAGGGACCTGGTGGGAGAGAATTGAATCATGGGGGTGGTTTCCCCTATACTGTCCTTGTGGTAGTGAATATGTCTCACGAGATCTGATGGTTTTTTAAAAGGTTTCTCTTTTCACTTGGCTTCATTCTCGCTTACCTGCCACCATGTAAGATGTGCCTTTCCCTTTCCTCCATGATTGTGAGGCCTTCTCAGCCACGTGGAACTGTGAGTACATTAAACCAGTTTTTCTTTATAAATTACCCAGTCTTGATTATGTCTTTATCAGCAGAGCGAAAGTGGACTAATACACTGCCTTTTCTCCCCCAAGCCTCTCAAAATGGTTATATCACAATTTCTGGCTAAGTTAACATTATGGTTTTGCTGCTGTTCTGATCTCTAAACCTTTGTACATGACTGGATTTTTGCTTGGTTTTGTTTTTCTCTCTTTGAAAGCTTTTGGGAAATTATCCCTGGTAATTCAAAATTTCATGATTATGTAACTTGCCTTGACCCTTTCAATCTATAAATTTGTGTTCTTCAGTTCTGGGAATTTGCCTTGAATTATTTCTAGGATTATTTTCTTCTATCCTTTGCCTGTAAATTCAACTACATTTACACTGAATCTCTTGAGCTATCTTCTGCTTTTCTAGGATGTTCCCCCTCTTTTTGTTCAACTTCCTGGTAATTTCCATACCTTATCTTCCAAATCATGTATTCCATTTTATTATTTATGCTATCAGCTATTTTATTTCTAAGAGCTTTCTCCCTCCCAGGACCAGTGTCATGGCTGTGTAACCTGAGAAGTCACACAGGTCCCTGTGCTCAGAAGGACCCTGTGCCTGGTGTAAGCGATGCTACTGCCACCTTGAAATTCTTAACTTTTGAGCACCAGGTCTTGTATTTTCATTATGCAGCCATTCCTGTTTATTTCTCTGAATGTTCTCTTTTCAGAGCTTCCCATTCTTGTTTCATAGATGCATTCTCTTCTCTCCCTGAGGAAATCCGAGATTTGTCAAAATTTGTTTTGAGGCAGGAAAACAGGGCCTGGAAGCAGGGAATCTAAGGTCAATTTGTTCTGACTTCCTAAAGCTGAACTGAGGAAAAACACTAAGGTCTGGGGCAGGGAATCTAAGGCCAATTTATGCTGACTTCCCAAAGCTGGATAAAAAGAGAAAACACCTGAGTTTGGGGGCAGGGACCTTAAGGCCTATTAATGCAAACTTCCAAAAGCTGAATCAAAAGGAAAAACCCCCCCCACTCCCCACGTCTGGGTAACAAGTATCAAAGTTTCCTCTCCCTGCAACTCTCCCCTTCACCACCTCTCAGATGGAAAGGGAAAGTGCCCTGGATTGACCACAGGCCAAGCAGACACCATCCCTTCATCTGCATAGGGTGCCAATTCACTTCAGCCTTTAATTAGCCATAGACCAAATCCTTCATCCAGATAAGGGACCTCAAAAGAAGTACTTCAAACCCAGAAAACTTTCTAACTGGGCCCTAGAGCTGCTTGCTCGGGCTGCCTCTCATTCTGTGGAGTATTTCTCGCTTTAATAAATTCCCGTTTTTGCTGCTTGGTTCCTGTGTTTCATTCCTTTGTTACTTTGCGTGTTTTGCCCAATTCTTTGTTTAGAATGCCAAGAACCTGGACATCTCACACTCAAGACCCTTCTTCTGGTAACAGTTTTGCTCCCTAAACTATCTTTTTCTTCCTAGTTACTCTTTTTTTTCTTTTTCCTTTTTTTTTTTTTTGAGACGGAGTCTCACTCTGTTGCCCAGGCTGGAGTGCTGTGGCGCAATCTCGGTTCACTGCAACCTCTGCCTCCTGGGTTCAAGTGTTTCTCTTGCCTCAACCTCCCCAGTAGCTGGGACTACATGCACGTGCCATCACGCCCAGCTAGTTTTTGTATTTTTAGTAGAGACAGGGTTTCACCATGTTGGCCAGGCTGGTCCTGAACTCCTGACCTCAGATGCTCCACCCGCTTCAGCCTCCCAAAGCGTTGGGATTACTTTTTTCTTTATTTATTTTGACTTCTGCTTTTCACATTAGGGGCTTTTCTCCAATATCTGATGATCCTTCTTTGTCCATTCATCTTTACAAGTAAGGTACTAAAATGCTAACTTGAAATCACAAAATCTCTGTATGCCTAGGAAAGCTTGTGAACTAATGAGGCATCACTGTTGGATGGGGAAGATAGGTGTTCTGCTGGGGCAGGGGTCCCCAGAGTTCAGTATCTGAGATAGTTTCTCTTGGGCTGATCAGTTTCTCTGAAGATGAAGGGTGCAATGCATATGAAAATTAATCAATTTCATCTTCAGAGCTACCCGATATTTTCAATTCCTGATCCTTTCTAAAGCCTACCTGAGTCTTCTGAGGTTCTGTGGAATAAATTAGTTTGCTCCTTGGCTCTACCCTAACTCCACACACACCATGCCCACATTTCAGCCTTGTCTTGTCTGCAAGTCAACTGCCACCCAATATCTGTAACTACAGATACAAAAACCCTTTTCAAAACTTTAGCAAATCAATTCCAACAATATATTAATATAAAGTTGATAACACCCTTGATATGTGATTGGGTTCCTCATCCTCCACCATCCTCAGGTGATATCTGATCACCTTGCCCTGTCCTCAGCAAGAATCCTGTTAGGTCAGTTTAACCAGAATCTGCACACTCCCTGCTCCCACCTCCCACCTTATCTTTAATACTTCCTCTTAATAATTTCCTGTGTATACACCCCAACTCTGTTCCTTGGCTATAAAGTCCCACTTACCCACGCTATATTAGAAATTTAGCCCAATCTCTCTTCCTGTTGCAAAATCCCTTTGTAGCCATCCCCACAGCTATCACTATGACCCTCACCTTGAAAAAAGCCTGCCTTACTGTCCTCTGAGCTCAAGCTAAGCCATCATACCCCCTGTGACCTGCACATATGCATACAGATGGCCTGAAGCAACTGAAGAACCACAAAAGAAGAGAAAATAGTCAGTTCCTGCCTTAACTGATGACAGTCCACCTTTATGATTTGTTCCTGCCCCACCCTAACTGATCAATTGACCTTGTGACATTCCTTCTTCTGGACAATGAATCTCAGGAGCTTCCTAGCGAGCACCCTGTGACCCCCGCCCCTGCTCGCAAGAGAACAACCCCCTGTAACTGTAATTTTCCATCACCTACCCAAATTCCATAAAACTGCCCCACCCCATCTCCCTTTGCTGACTCCTTTTTCGGACTCAGTCCACCTGCACCCAGGTGATTAAAAAGCTTTATTGCTCACACAAAGCCTGTTTGGTGGTCTCTTCACAGGGACGTGCATAACACTTACCATCCTCAGCAAATGTCATTAAATTTTTTTTCTTTAACAGATGCTGAGGTAATTCAATGGAGAAACAAGTTTTTTCAACAAATGGTGCTAAAACAATTGGATACACATATGTTAAAAAAATTGAAAAAAACCCTCTATCCTTACCTTACCCCAAATACAAAATTTAACTTGGGATAGATTATAGACCTAAATGCAAAGGTTAAAAGTATAAAAGTTCTGAAAGAGCCGGACACGGTGGCTCACGCCTATAATCCCAGCACTTTGGGAGGCTGAGGTGGGTAGATCACGAGGTCAGGAGATTGAGACCATCCTGGCTAACATGATGATACCCCGTCTCTACTAAAAATACAAAAAATTAGCTGGGCGGGGCGGCGCGCACCTGTAGTCCCAGCTACTAGGGAGGCTGAGGCAGGAGAATCGCTTGAACTCGGGAGGTAGAGGTTGCAGTGAGCCAAGATTGCACCAATGCACTGTAGCCTGGGAGACAGAGTGAGACTCCGTTTCAAAATAAAAAAAAAAAAAGTTCTGAAAGAAAACATAGGAGAAAATCCTAGTGACCCTGAGTTAGACATAGATTTCTTAAACAGGTACAAAAACCTCAAACTATCAAAGATAAGTGATAAGTTACATTTGATCAAAATTAAAAATTCTACTTGACTTGCACCACTGACCCTGTTCAAGATCCCTATTTGTTGCCTTCTTTCTACTTGAGGACCCAAGAATCAGACTGCTTAGATTAGAATTCCAGTTCTGTGAAAGACTAGCCTCAGTCTTTTCATCTGTAAAACGAGGACAGCAATGGTAACTCCTCCTGGGATTGTTTTACGGATCATAGTAGCTAGCAGTGCTTGGAATGCAATGAGTGCTATGTAAGTGTTATTCTCCTTTCTTCCTCTTTCAATTTTTTTCCTCTATCTATAGATAAAAGTGATTCTGTATGCTACTAAAAATCATAAGGAGTGCAAATAAAGCATCCATAACTGGGAAAGTGCCTTTCTCCTTCTTTTTTTTTTTTTTTTTTGAGACAGAGTCTCGCTCTGTCGCCCAGGCTGGAGTGCAATGGCACAATCTCGGCTCACTGCAACTTCTGCCTCCTGGGTTTCAGTGATTCTCCTGTTTCCGCCTCCTGAGTAGCTGGGATTACAGGCACACACCGCCATGCCCGGCTAATTTTTTGTATTTTTAGTAGAGACGGGGTTTCACCATGTTCCCCAGGCCGGTCTTGAACTCCCGAGCTCAGGCAATTCACCCGTCTCAGC